CAAATGGCAGGCGTTTTGATAGCTATCATTAGCCCTTTACCTGACTTCGGGCTTCACAGGGGGAAGGAACATCAAAGTAACAGAAAGTCGAGGGATGGGGAACAGAAGAGCGGTTTACAGTTGTAAAAGAGACAGACACAAAGGCAGAGAAAAGGTAGGATGATTACCGTGGAAGTGGTAGAATATGGCATCCAGTGGGGTTGTGATAGTTTGAAGTCAGAAGTTAACTACCGGTTAATAGACTTTTTTGGCGTATGAGTATACTTTGCCCAGGGTGCACCACGTGGAGATAAGTCTATCGCACACCCCTCATCTCTATCATAACACCTGACGCCATGTGTCTGGGGAAGGTGTTGTGAATATGCAATTAAGAAGCGGAATCGTTGAAATCGGTTTTCACGATATATCACCGATTTTACGTCAATGCTTGAGTTTGTTCAAAGGCAAACGCCTTTTTTCTGCTCTAGTTGATCAATCTGCTTATTTTAATTAAATTTTCTCCAAAATTGCAGATGAATTTAATTTTGTTTATAGTTTAGTTCAAGTTAAATTCCTACATCTCAGGTATGTACTTTTGAGGATCTAAATGTTTTGATTTGTCGGATGGATGTAAATGTGTATATAGTTGTATAATTTTGGTAATCATTTCATTTGAAAACAAACTTTTTTATTTGTAGAAGAAGTCCTTTCAAACGGTTTCCCACAAATAAACGGTTCTAGCCCTGGTGCAATACTGGATCAGCCTAAAAATACCTTCGAATCGACCACCAATGGAGTCCATTTTCCTTCCACGCAAATGCCCTCTGGAAGCTCATCGATTGTCAATTTGCACGACTCGAGTGACGAAGTTCGTTACCGTTCTAAATTATCTATGTATTGGTTATATCACAACTTACGATTACTTGAAGTAGGATGGAACGATTTTTAAAATCACCAATTGTTTACACAGACTAAAGGCATCATATACATAGTTTTGGGTTAGCATAAATTGTTATTAGCGATCAGTTAGTTCTGGAATTCACGCTCAAGGAATCGGTGCTATTTAACGAGTTGATCAACTTGGTCTATGTTGAGTCCAGTGCTAAAAGTGAACTAAATCGAATTTTCGTATGTGCTAATGCTTGATTTTAGAAAGAATTCAGGAGACAAGAACTTAGAGTTTTGTTTGAAGTGATTAGTGAATTATGATTAAATTAGAAGTTTATTCCTTTATAAATGCAACCTTGTAACTGTAATTTTCGTCTATCGATATTATCTCAGTTTTCGATCTATCGTTTGCAGTTTACTCCTCACCCTTCAACCTGTTTCCCATTTTCTCTCGTTATCTTTCCCCTGCACGTTTAACTATACCCCATTATACCTTTCCACTATCGTTTTCTTTGTGTTCTCTGGTAACTCGAAGGTCTAGTCCACATGGTTAATTTCGTAGAAAATGGGACAATAACTCATGTTTTGTTGCTGATTCCTAATCTCTATCCTTCTGATTATTTTTAATTAGCCTTCTTCACAATTAAAGAATATATTCCATTAAAAATATTTAATCACGGGGTGTGCGATAGACTTACCTCCACGTGGTGCACCCTGGTCAGTGTATACTCACACGGCGAAAAAAGTCTATTAACCGGCAGTTGACTTCTCACTTCAAACTACCATCAACCCACTGTATGTCATATTCGACCACTTCCGCAGTACTCACCTTACTCTACTCTCGACCTTTGTGTCTGTCTCTTTTACATCTTTAAAACACTCTTCTGTTACCCCTCCCTCTCGATTTTTTTCACTTTGATGTTTCTTCCTCTCTGTGAAGCCTGAAGTCAACTAAAGGGCTAATGATAACTATCAAAACACCTGCCATTCGATATAAGTCTATAAACTGGGAGTCGAGTTCTGACTTCAAACTATCATGACACCACTGTGTGTCATATTCGACCACTTCCACAGTTCTCCTCTTGCCTTTTCTCTGCCTTTGTGTCCGTGATTCACTCTCCTGTTCCCTTTCTCCAATTTTTCTCACTTTGATGTTCCTTCCATCTGTGAAGCCCGAAGTCAACTAAAGTGCTAATGATAACCACCCAAACACCTGCCATTTGAAATAACTGAATAAATAAATATTTGATCACTGCCCAACTTAGTACTTAGGTGGAAGGCAATGGTAGGGGAAATTGTTCTGACTACCGATTGTCCATGCATTCAGGGAAATTTCTGGAGATTTGTTTTCTTAACCAATAAAAGATTTCCCTTTTGTTCTTATTCCATGAAATTTAATATCGATATCTGTTTGCTAAGTCAAAAGATGAATCCGATAGCGTGTGGCAACGAGCATTCCACTAACCTGCGAAGGCAGAGTCCACGAACTCGACATTCATTAGCGAATACTCAGTAAATGGAATAACTAAAAACGCTGCTTACATGTGGCAATATTGCAAGTTCAGAATTCGAGCTCTCCTTACCGGTGCGAAGGCTACGAATTGAAATGAATTTACTGACTGCGGGTTATATTATGTTAAAGAAAAAGCTCGATTAATAAATGGCCTTCATTTTTGTTTGTAGGCCGAGACTGGACGAGAAACAACTGCACGCGTTCGATTCAATGCTGAGGATGGTCCAGCAAAGCATGCCAACGATGTATGTCCTTCACTTTTGTCTTATCCCCCCCTGCATTGGTCATCGTTAGTTTTTTTTAATTTTTAAAGATGGTTTATTTCTTAATTGTTAAGGGAAAATGTGTGTAGAGAATTTGCTTGATATTTTTATTTGGTAATATCGCATATTCTTGGGGGTGTTTAGCTAGTATTGCCCATTCAATTCGTAATGTGGGAGAGTTGATCTACCGAAATTTTGATTAATTATTCCCTGAATTTCAATCGCTGGAATATTTGATCGACTCAGTGATTCGGATCATAACTAGCCGTCAAACTTGCAGTACGTAGTTCACAAGCGGTCTTGATATTTAGCATATTACACGGTAAATTATACTTTAAATATTGACGCTATAAATTCAGTTATGGCGTAATGATATTATTAGCGTAATGCCGAAATTCCTCGATGCTCTCCAATGAGCCTATATATAACAATCTTGCTGGTTAAGAGCGATTCCTAAAACTACGACTGGTTCAAGATAGACACTGTAAACATGCCTCTCCAAATAGAACCGTGTATGTTATGGTAGCTTCATCTCTCGAGACTGGGTCATCGAACTATCATTTTGCCTTGTTGTAATCGCTCAACATCATCGATTTCTTCCCTTTTCCATAATAGGTTCGGGAGTATCCCAAGACACGGCATCCAATACACCTTAAGAAAGGACTCGACGGGGAAATTGTGCACAAAACCGTGAGTGTTTAATATAAAGCTCCATTAAAGCTGTAACATGAGACTTTACATTATAATTTTCGCTGAAGTACTCTGTCGTTACGCTTGAAGAAAATGATCTGTAGTTCAAATGACGATTTCTTCTCTCTTTTGACAATGTACAGCTCTTGCTAGAGATATAGCATTGATGGAACTTTCCTTCCAAAGAGAACAGTGATTAAAGAATCTATTATCTAAGGAAAGAGTTCTTTTTCCAGAATATTACGAATTCATTTTCTAATAGTAGCTGAGCCCATTCTGGTAAGAGTAGAGATTTCATTATTTACCCACATGCTAGAGCTCTATGTACACAATCGCGCAGGCTGTTCTATTTGCGTGACTCATAGCTCCTTATTGCATGCAACGTATGCGCGAGAGTGTGGTGACAATTTCCAATGTAGTTTTTTTTTGTAAGTTTGTTTGACCGTACGTATTTGGCTCCATTGCAGTGGTGTTGTGTGGGTCGTTGTACGTGCATGTGCAAATTTGTGTGTGTGCGTGTGTGTGTGTACGAATGTGATCACGAAATATCTTACCGGCATGCTAACATGCCTGCATCTCTATTGGCTCCCTAATTATGACTCAAAGTCATTTTGCGCCATGGTGGTCAGGTGTATGTGCTTGTGCTCTTAACACTCATTAATTATAAATCCCATGCCCTACTGAAGCAATGCGCGTTTCTATGCCCTCCCCTAGAAGAAATTTTTACTCGGGTCAAAGTTGAGGATTGAAGTTGGCTAAATTGTTCAATAGCTGTGCATTGACATGTTTCAAACGCGTGTCCTCTGGTTTGGCACACGTTGACGTTAATCACTCAACCACGAAACATAAAGTTCTTCACTCCCCCTCCCTTCCCCCCCCCCCCCCCCCTACTTTTTTGAAGGAAACCCATGAAAGATTCTAATGGGAACTTTTCAGTTTCTCCTATTGTTCCTATCTATCAAAGGCTATTTTAATCTTCACTGAAATTGAATTCTCGCACTGAATTTCGTTGTGTAACTAAACATCGCTCTCTTAATGCAGTGTTTTAGAAAGGCAAATAGCGCTTCAGCTGATCACGCACACATTCCGTTAAATGATACGATTTGAGTTGGAAATATAGTTGTTCGCGACACTTATCATTTTTGGGTCGACTGAATGTTGCAGTTTTTGTTCGATTACTATTTTAAAGTGTCTGTAATACAGAATGCTTGTTAGTTAAAATAGCTAAGGTAATCGACGTTTTTTTGCGCTCTTCAGAGCTATATCAAGTTATTCGCTTACCCCTCTCTTCCTTTTTGATTTAGTTTTTTTTAACAAAAAACAATGCTACCTATGTTTTTAATTATTGTAAAACATCCTTGTTTTTTCCTTCATTCATAAAATTCTTTTGGATTGTTGAAAGTCAATCAGGCATCGTATTTCATTTCCATTTCACTGACCCTTTCGCGAACAAAAGGCCTAATTCTCAAGGAATTAACCAGCTATCATAAAACTGCCTACATCTTGAAGCCAATTCTTCAGTTATCATATTTTTACATTCACCAGCTGTTACCTTACTTTAAAGTTTCCATTTCTTCTTCTTGGTAGGAAGACCGAATTTATGGGAATATTTAGCACAGTCTAAATTAATGCTGTTGAAGCCAAATCAAATCATGGAAAGGATTAAGCGGGTTTTAATAATACCTCTATTAGTGATCACCTCAGAGAAAATCTTGGTCGACGAAAAGAGAAGTCAATCAAAGTCAGTTTTTTGGGTCTCAAAGTGGAGTTAGCCATTTGGCCCGACGCTAGGGTTCTGTTTGCCAAAACAATAAGGTCGAGTTTTTTAATTTAAATGTACGTCAATAGTTAGTGCAAAACGCGTGATTTGTTGGATAATAGTATTTTTGTTATAATTATAATCCCATCCAGATTGGTTCATAAGAACTTACACTTATCATTCTTTATTTACCTAAGGTTTGTATCAAATAAGCGAAGTTTATTCATTGAAACCTCGCCCTTCTACAACTATGCATGTGTTTTAATAAATTTATTTATGGTAACGTTCCATTGAATTTTCCTTTTTCTTGGAATTTCAGAATGACAATTCTCCCCACATACCATCCAACGTACGCGGTAAGGTTTGGCTTTATTACTTCTCTAAGGTGTGCAATACTGCAGTCGGTTCTATACAAGTTGGCACATGTCCAATTGTTGCCTTTATTTGTGTGTTTGTATAGAGGCTTTCTTAGATTTATCTCATTGGCTGATTTTTTTCAGCATTTAAATAAATTTTATGAATAGTTGCTTTCTCGTTGTAATCAGTGATGTCTAAGATTGATCTTAGCAGACTGCTCATTGTTCACTATTTAGATCTCTTATTTATTTATCAAATAATTTGAATGACATTAGCGAATTGTATAAGTTAATCATGCTCTTTGTCATAATCCTTAATGCTGTGTGATTTATTTTTTATTAATACACTCTACTTATATTGCCCATTACATTCTGGCCTTTCCTATAACGATCTTGTGTTCCATTATTTCTAACAAATACCTTTTATTGTTCATTTTTGCCTTCTTATAGATCTCCATCCGAACGCCGATCAGAACACCTCTCATAACGCCGTAAGTTACTCGTTCATATTAACAAAAGTCAACTTTTATATGTACTTTGATCACACAGTTTCTCCTATTTTTTCTATAGAATGTACCCCTCTATATTAGGAAACAGGATACGCCAAAGCGTGCCCTTGGGGGAGTTGGCTCTGCTACGGATACTTCTTCTCTCTAGTAATTTCTCAACATAATTGTATATTTCTTGTTTGCACAAAAAATCTTACGGGATCTTTTTCCCTCCAGTACTAATACGCAAGGAAGCGACTATGCAGGCAGCCTCAGTTCTGATCTCACTTCACCTGTTTCGCCTACAAGTTCAGCTGGAATTGACGATCTCCTGTCGACGAATGTATCTACGTCAAATTCTGGGCGTGGACGTCATAATGGCAATGACAATGGTGGTCCCGGTGTGACGTTTGCTGAATCACCTTTGGAGGGTCCTGGATCCCATGCTAGTCGTGCTGATCGGGAAAAGGATGATGAAGAGGAGTATAGCAGTGGAGGTGTAAGTGCTTTTAATTTAAAATCTTACATTCCAACTTTTACTCCATGTAAACTTGAGCGTACATGAAAAATCTCTATTTGTCCACGTGGGTAATAATTAAGCTACTACAGGCGGAAGAAGATGGAAGTCTTAGAGATCAACGCAATATGGAGAAAGTCCATTTGAATCAGCTGTAAATAATTGGTTATCTGATTCACTAATGATGCAACACTGATGAGATGCCTTTCCAGTCAGTAGCTGTATATATATATCCAATTATTAATATTCGAGTACACGAAGGATAAAACTTGTTAATTCTGTTCACTCAGTGTAACGTATTTCTGGCAAGAAGCTCTACAACTTACTCAAGTTCTCTCATCACCGAGGTGCATTCAGAATGGGCATTTATATGAGCGGTTTTTCATTCTCTACAACCGAGAGAAGTGTGTGTTGGAGAGTAACTTATCACCATCGACCATCAGGACCATTATGCAGTTTTATGTTTATGTGCTGCGCTGTAAATGTAGGTAACTGTGATACGACTACTCACTCACCTAGTTAATGCCTTAAGCATGTAGTCACCCTGGTGTGGCATGCGGAAAGGAAAAAAATGCTAGTGCCTTAGCTCGAAACTTTGTCTTTATTATCGTATCTCACGCATGCTCCCTGATTTTAGCGTGCCTTGCTTAAATTATATTTGATACTTTACGCGATTAACGCGCTTATCTGGCTATATTTGGTAAAAAACGTAGTAATATGGACACTGATGAGAAATTTTATAGTTTACAACCCTATGATCGATTCCAATCTATGTCCATGTAACATCTCTGTAAGTTTTTTTACTAGTGGACAGATTTTTAAACGCTATTTATGAGTAATAAATTCTATTTTATTGTCACGGGTAGACATTCCAATCCCAGAGTGGAGTAGACAGAGAGTATGTCAGGTTGGCCTTAAACGCCTGTCTGCAACGCCACTACTAAAGTTATCGCTGTAATTTTTTTCAAATGGTTACAGTCTGTCAATGTCAATTTCAGTTTAAATTATTTAATTCGGGCAATTAGAATTTAATGAGCCCCAATATCAGGGCCATCTGCAAACTTTGAGTGCTGCATTGGCTCTCCCAGTATATTAGAAACGAACGAAGAAGCATGTGCAAGATTTATATTTATATCAAATGGTAGGCGTTTTGATGGCTATCATTAGCCCTTGAGTTGACTTCAGGCGTCACAGAGGGAAGGAACGTCAAAGTGAAAAAAAGTCGAGAGGGAAGGAGGAACAGAAGAGTTTCAAAGACGAAGTTAGAAAAGGTAGGAAAAAGTTGAGGTGAGTACTGTGAAGATGTCGAATATGACATACAGTGAGGTGATGGTAGTTTGAAGACAGAAGTCAACTGCCGGTTTATAGACTTTTTTGCCGTATGAGTATACGTTGCCCAGGGTGCACCACGTGGAGGTAAGTCTATCGCACACCCTAGCATGTGCAAGATAAAATATTAATCCGTTATTGCATCAAATTGTTACTTTTGTCGAGAAGGGGATCGTTTATGACGCCATTACAGGGGAAAAACAATGGTTGTCTTCAAATCCAACACCTATTCCATCCCTTGAGCTAAACCCACATTGGCCCTTCGGAAGTTCCTTTTGGGCACTAGGCAGGATGTGTGTGGAATAACCCGTTTAGGATGTTCGCAAATTAAATAGGGAAAGTTCTATTCCCAAGACCTCGCCCTATTGTATTTCCGCAATTGCAGTTTCATGGAGAATACTTTAAGAGAATAGAGATTTCGCAAACCACTTGTCCGATTTTTTAAGTTTAAAAGAAGGGATTAATATACTTTGAGATCAATGGAAATGAACGTAGAGATGCTATCCTAAAGCATTCTATACATATATTAAAAATAAATGCTATTTTATTGACTTTCGGAAAATTATGTCATGTCATCCTTAAGTTAACCGATACATTCGATTCCTTATTGTGCTTTGCTAGGATTATTTGATTTTTCATTATTTTATTCATTTGTTGGACTCTGAATTAATTTAACTAGTGGTATTTTATGCTAAATAGTATGAATTGTGACTCCTTAGTTGATTAAGAGACTGGCTTTTACTATCTCCACGGGGCTGCCGAGAGAGCATTTAAATTTCTATGCGATCGGTTGAAATTTGTAGACATTGACTGCCATTCTATTCTTCGTCGTTTTACTACTTTGGGTAAAATTAAAGTGACCGAAAAATACAATTGAGAGAGGGAATAAGACAACCACAGATATTTATTTATTTATATCAAATGGCAGGCTTTATGATATTTATCATTAGCCCTTTAGCTGACTTCGGGCTTCACAGAGGGGAAGGAACATCAAATTGGAAAAAGTCGAGAGGGGGGGGGAACAGAAGAGTGTGCCATAGACTTACCTCCACGTGGTGCACCCTGGGCAACGTATACTCATACGGCAAAAAGTCTATTAACTGGCAGTTGATTTCTCACTTCAAACTACCATCACCCCACTGTATGTCATATTCGACTATTTCCACAGTACTCACCTCACCTTTGTTCTACCTTTGTGTTTGTCTCTTACTACTAGAAGTAGTAATCAAAATTTTGTTCTCTTTTGTGTGTTCGTGGAGTGAAGGTGATGACGAATGAGTTTAGATATTTGTGAATGTTCCAAAACCTAAACAATTTTCAAAAGTAAATGAGTTTTCAATCTAGGGGACTCTAGGTGAAATTGGCATATAAAGAAAGTACTTGAGAATAATATTGTCATAGCCAGTGCATTAGTATTTCGATGATCATCTGAGCAGTATCCAAGCTAACTAATGTGTCTTTGGTTCCATAATCCGCCCCCTCACATTTTGCAAACATATTAGCTAATCCGAAAATAAATCTGATCAGTTGATGGTTACCGAATGCAAAAGGGGCTCCAAAAGTCTACTCATCTTCCCAATATCTACGTTGGAACTTGGTTATTTTAATAAATTTAAGCATGATTTTATTTAAATTTTATGCATACTGACAGGCGTTCTGCATTTACAAGACGATACTTTTCATTTCTTCGAAATTGAGTCTCTTATGTTCCCGCCTTTAATTATCTAACTAAAGGGTTAATTTCTTTTAGGAGGAGATTGATACGATTACCAAGTCTGTGGCCTTTGGAGATGACGTGAAAGACAATGAGGATAATGGAAACCAGAAGTTGATTCGTCGCGATACTCCACACTATACTAAGCGTGCTCGTATTCACAGTAAGTTTTTTGCTCTTCACTTCCCATAGCGTCGGGCTGCTGCGTTCACCAACTTGTTGTAATGTGTAGCAAGGTCCTTTTAGCGGGTATGCTACTGTTGCTTAAACTTTAGAGAAAGAGAAGACACATCTGCCTGATATGACTAGTTTAGTAACAAAGCGTCTATTAACTGACCCTAGAAATTATTTATACACCTAATGCTTCATTTCTCCAAACTGTGCTCTGTTGTGGAAAACCTAATCAATCATTGGGTTTCATTTTTGTTGTGGTAGAACAGGATTGGTCACATGCGAACAAATAGTGAATATCGGTTAATTTCGCCATATCGCGACTCGCAATATCGATAATGGCAATGAGTTATAATGATGGTGGAAAATATTGGCAATTTCGGTCCATGCTTAAGCATTTCTACGTATTTTTGTGAGCTTCCCATTGATAAGAAATAAGTCAAGTTACCTCCAGGTCTCTGAATAATAGTTAATGAGTATATGTACTTGTAATGGAGTAATGGCCTTCTTATTAATCGTATGCTTCGTATCCGTTTCAAAGCATATTATTATAGGGTAATTATTGAACCTTGAACAACCTAAGTTCTAGATTCCACTGATTTTTTATTGATTCCTTTGAATGTGTTTTACAAATTTATTTACACAAATGGTAAGAAATCGAATGTTGATTTATCGTCTCGAATTATGTGCGCACATTTTCGTTGCCGCGAGGTTCGAAATATCGCTTGAGTGTTATATAGTATTTTTATAATTTAGGCGTGCTACCACGCAGTAAATATNGTGGAGGTAAGTCTATCGCACACTCCACCTACTAATAAAAGCATTGATAGAGTGTAAGTGCGAGAACATAAGGGCTAACATTTTCTAGCCCTATAATACACAGCTTTGTGGTCTTTTGTTTATTGATCACCTTTGGATTGATTTGTTTTCTTGGGAATAGTGGGGGGGGGGGGGTTTGGTTTTCCGNATTGAGTTTCCGTGCTTCACGAAGGATTGTGCGCAAGCACTTTTTCCAAGTCAATTGCGTAGTAGAGGCCTTCGAGTTTTCCATAATAGGGACAAATTTCTTCAGTTGATTTTGAACTTTTTAATTTAGGTACCTTTCCGTTAATAATCGTACGATTTTAATCTAGTTCACTGTGTGCTGTAATGAGCAAGTATGCCATCAATTTCATGGAAATGTAGGTATGTAGGTTATTCACTAATTTGAATTTACATATTTGTATTCATCTTATTTTTCTATTAAGCTTACTAACGTGATATCCCCCCCCCCTTTGAATGAGTTTGTTGTATGTTGGAAAATACGTATGATAGACACTCCGAAATCGCACCTTCTCCTGACTAAATCTTGGTATTTTGTGTCAAGTCTTTTTGTCGTGAAGGTCATTCCAAGAGTTTGTCATGTCCAGATATCTAGACGTCACTAGATTAAATTCCTAAGGCGGATATTTGAATCGGATGAAGTAATGATGAAATTGCTAATCACTATTGCAACAGTAAATATTTCATCGCGATTGCAGCTATTTGTCACTTCCTTCTTTCCTCCCTTTCATCACACGGCCCATTTATAGAAATTTATAATTGCATTGTTATAAGGGGATTCATGACCTGCTGACATCTAAACCGTTTCTCCTTACAGTGAATAATGAAGAAGCAGTCATCAAGCTCCTTAAGAAGTGCTGCGATCCAAACGTGGTTAATTCCTTTGCGGAAGGCATTCCTCCTGATAGTACAAGGGTAATATTTCAGTTGCTTTCTCTACCCCATATGTTCTTTTCATTCACTTACTAATGCGTTGTTTTCCTATTTGGCAGTCAACTGATAGTCTTCTAACAGCAGGGTCTAAAAATGCCCAAGCATCTCATACAACGCCTTCTAACGCCACCCCCGGCAGTACCTCCCCCTCTCTACTTGCGCAATCCGCAGCCAACGTCCAGCAAACTCTTGTCTCCCAATCAGTATCACCACCGAAAACAGAACAGGTTACTCTGCATATAACCCTCGAGAGGGAACCTGGAGGAGGTCTGGGCTTGAGTATTGCTGGAGGAGTGGGCTCGGTACCATTTCGTGGCTTGGATCAAGGCATCTTTGTTAGTCGCCTTGCTCCTGGGGGGTTGGCAGAGACGTCGGGGCTGAAAGTTGGGGATAAGTTGCTAGAGGTGAGTGGTTGGCCATCAATTTTAGAATGAATTGCTTTAACTATTGAACTTTTCTAAGCAAAATTTTGGAAAATGTTATGACTTTTCATTCATTGTACCACTTCTTTATAGTTGTCCGGTTTGCCAACATTGGAGAAGGCGTAAACCTATTTATTTAAATTGAAAGCTAAGCATTTTTCATCATTTGTTTTGGATAGATGTGTATGAAGCTCCTAAAACACCTTTTCTTGAGAAGTTTCCTATTGCTTACGCTTTATCGATCAATGTTATATACTATGTTTCATCAGTTGTGTACTGATGGATCTCGAATCCTTTTCATCTTTTTGATCCATTATTTTCTTAAACTGTTTGGTTGTGTATCCTCACTTTATCATATTCTTGATGCAAGGAAAATTGTTTGAATATGTTTGTTTCATTGGTGAGGGAATCAAGCCTTTTCTCTCGTACACCTTATTTGTGTCGATTATTGAAGTCCTCTCTCACAAGACCATCGCTGAAGCAACTGCTACAATTGTTGCCTTACCAAGCAGCCAATCATTTATCAATTATTCAAATCAATTTATTACAGACTGGGTGGAGTGGGAAATTGAATTTTAATTTTTAGTTTCTGAACTATGTTTAATTCTAGGTATAATTTGTTTATAATCCCCTTAGTTTGAAATACTTGAGAATATCCTATTCGGCTGAAGCCTAACTTTGAGAAAAGGGTTGAGTATTAATTATACTCTATGCTAGTTAAACAATGAGATTAATTTCTACTAAGGGGTGTTTAGAATGCATTTGGATTAAAGCGACTTAAAAGTTAAGCTCTTTGTTAAATTATTGCCACTGATTCTGGTTTTGCTTCTTTTAATGGCTCTATCCACCCGCGCAAGTTGTTTAGTCGCCATACTAGATGCAAATTTGATGCTTACTAATCATTAGTGTGTAAAATGGTGCTTCATTGTTATTCATTGAGATTCACCCACTGCATTCATGTAGTTGCAAAGTAATTACTATTATTGTACCAAGCTTTCATCATGAACTATCTGATGACTCTAGATCTGCTTTCTTTAAGAGAACAGGAAGTAAACTTATCTCTATTTTCGATGGTCTGTTGGCTGGAAGTAAAGCTACAGGTCTTCTTTTCTTTCTTCCTGTTCTTGGTAGTTGTGGCTACATTATGATTTCAGCTGTCGTCAGGTGATATTACTGATATTGCACAGATTATGTCAGTTTCAAGCTAACGTTAGATTTGCTACAATATTTATTAATATTTTTAATCTCATCAAGTGCCGTTGTTCTATAAGAATCTTCTACCATTTAATTATTACCTGCCTGATTATGGTAAATTGCACCTGTTTCTTCAATGTGTTGCTTTTTACTCATAAAACATTAACTGCGTATTATCTCCTTTGTTGCGTTCCTCTTATCTCTCTTCCTACCTTGTCTTGGCTTTTGCCTAATTGAATGACTTTCATAGGCTTTCTCTTCTTTATTTCCATCGATTCGTTATCCAGCTCCCTTTAAATTTAAGGGAAAGGTGATTTCGATCTTTTTGTGTTAAAATAAGTGTTTTTGCACTGCCAAGGATCTTCTTGTGCATTAAAGCACGATGACGCTTTATCATTTAGGGAGAGAGGGTGGTAAAAGTGAATCGCAGATGGAGATAGAAAGCGGGAATATTTGGGAATAAGCAACGATGAAGCGTTTATGCTAACCTACTTCTGATACCTACCTCGAATTACGTTACATTGCGTTGAGGTGACTGTTCTGTGCATTTTGCTTATATGGTTGGCGATAAGTAAAAGAAAAGGAACAGCTGACAGTTAGATCAGAGCAGACATGGCCAAAATATGTTTTTTTTTACGTTTTCAAGAGCCTTATTACCCCTTGGCGCGTTTTTAAAGTAAAGTCGTAGATGCACTTTTTGTAAATTTGCGTAACTAATAAGGTCTGACTTTCAACCGTAGCTCATTGCTGTAAGAATTACGATTGGTTATTCTTTGTTGAAAAGAGTGGGCTTATGAGCTAATAACGTTATTTTGTGTTATTATTTCAAATACGTGGAGTCACCACCACGTCAGTCTCATAATGTGTCTGCAGCAGACTTGCTCACTAGTTGCTTTTCAGACACTCGCGGTGTTACATGGTTAATTAATCTTGGCATCACTTCATTGTTGCTTACGTGCCACACTATTTCGTCGTCTTTATTGTGATTTCTCCACTTCGAATCGAGTATCATTCTCACATAATTCTCTATAATTGAGTAAAATTCTTAGAAAATCAAGCCAAATGTTCATTTACATAGATATATGAAATACTAAGCAAAGAGCTTCAATAAACCCTTTCAAGTTCTACTTCTCTAGCTCATCTGTCTATAGGTGGAAGAATAATGTTGACCATTCTGATAGATTAACTAGCTTCTTTATCCAAAATATACAATTGCTGGCACTCAAGTGGTGGGCGAAGTGCCTATTGAATGTGGTATAACAATGAGGTCTAATTCCTTTCCATTCTACTTTAAGTCTGTTTCTCTTTTTTTGAAGATTCGCATGACCACCATAGAATCAAAAGTTATGTCTTGTGTGATATTTTTTCCCACGTAAAGACTCCTTAAAAATTAACGCTTTAATAATCGGTTGTTTCTGGACTATTTTTCCCACAGTAATCACCTACTTCATCAAGGCGAGTTAATTGTATGAGATATAAATTTTTTGCAATCACTCTTTTCATGAGAAAAAGCTGACATTTTGTGCTTGCCTAGCACTTTGCTTGGCAAAAGCGCTTAAAGGAGGAGCTGGCGAGTGACATTGTGCATCACATTCTTGTTTTCCCAGTTTATTTATGGTGAGCACACACACTAAGAAGCAATTTAGCTGACTAAAAACGTGCGAGTTTTGAGCCTAAGAGAGGGTGGTGTGTTGAGAATTAAAGTTTGTCTTCAAGTAACCTTTTTTTCCTCTAAATCTTCATGACAGAATTTCAATCTAGAATACACATTGAGCAAACGACTAATATTCTGTGATCACAGATTATGAGCTATCCTGCTACTTCCCCCCTAGATCAATGTTAATTGTCGTAGCTAATTATTTTGTTTACTCGTTGGTGAATTTCGAGTTTGTGAGCTCTGGGTTTTCAATCGAACATTTTGGTCACTGAGCATAATTAGAAATTTAACTTCTACTGTCAGCCTACGTGTGTCGTCTTATTATATCACTTATTTTAGTATTACTGAAATCAATCATTTTGGTCACCCTCGCACTTTGTTCCTCTTTGGTATTTGGAATCGTGTTAATTTTTCATTAGGTATCTAGCAGAATTAGTAATTCACAATTGCACTTTACTTAACTCTTGCATAAATCACCTATGAGATAGTTGTGTGCACGCACTTCAAATAATTAGCCTTTTCTATATGGTATTTGTGAAATTTGGTGCTGTTATCCAAATTGCTAATCAATTCCAAATCTCAGGTAAGTAATTTACCTTGTACAAGGACTTTACAGAAACCATCTCAATGTAGAAACTCAATCTATTTAATTCATGTCGCTTGTGTGTCTTAACCAATACAGCCAACCATTTTGCTACCAAAATTAAGCTAACAATCACATCTGCCAGTACGGACGCACTTGCCTGCACGCAGATGAGATCAATCAGTAAAACAGTGACTGTATCATGAAATATGCTCTTTCTCGTATTCCTTACCATGTCAGGGGATTGTGGCTCTGTGGTTATGTGTCCTCTCACACCTTGTATCCTACACACTTTTTGGCCCAAGGTTATATTTTATCTAAATCAAAGTGATCGTGTGCTCTACTCACATTCTATGCGAGCTGGGATGCGTGTAAAACACATTCAGATTACCTACGTCATAGTTGAGCACCGTCAAAAATTATAGACTATTTAGTCTAATGTCCTTACCAAGTCAGTCAAATACAAACTATTAAAAATGGATATGTGGGTGTGGTTTTTAAGAATAGTCTTCTATGTGTGTTAATCACGTTATCTCCTGTTAGCTAAATGTCTAGTTGAGTAACTTATTAGACAATTCAGACATGTAAATGAACCATTCTGTCCATTGCATGTAAATTCATTTACACAATATTTGCCTTTTCAGGTGAACGGCGTGAGTATGGTTAACGTTGAGCACCAAGTGGCTGTGAGCGCTCTTCGCACAGACGCCACACGATTCAAGCTCTTGCTCTGTCGCGAAGTGCCCGTTGTCACCCATGCGCCTCCTCACTCATCTCATACAATCAATGTGGAATCCACCAATGACGATCGATCGGCAAAAGCCTTCCCCCTTCAACCGACATATCTTGCGGATCCTCAGAGAGCGCATAATTTGCCTTCCAGTCTACTCAATACCACTTCTCTTGGAAGGCTTATACCCAGTTCTACTCTTCCCTTTGCTCAAGCTGCACCTACGGCTATGCAAGTAAGAGATCTGTCGATATTTGGTGTGCTCCCCAGGGGCGTAACCACTCACGTGTTCTCCTGGGAAGTCAGGGGTCACGCATTCAATGCACTCGGTGCACACGTAGTGAACAGACTGACTAATCATAAAGGTTTATATGACAATAGATTTCGCGTTTTTCGTCGTGGAAGTTAGTTATATATTTCCTAAAATGCTTGTCTCTCATACTATTATGATGGGAAAGTAATTTTACTGAATGGCCAATTTGTGATTAAACATTGTACTGAAAATTTTTATTTGTAGCTTTGTTAAATAATAGAGGATTTATTAAATCATAGAATTATTTGACTCAATTACTAAAACTGTTTAAGGTCTCCAAAGGCTTGCTTAAAGTTATAGCAAAATAATAATTAATTAATTAATAATTAATTTAGTGTTAAATGTATGCTCCTACGTTTAGGTTCGCGTTGTATATTTTGCCAATTGTCTAATAGCCTTACTAAAACTATATTATTGGCCTACTTATATCAAGAGATAATCTTTAAATATTATTTGTATAATTCAAAATACTGCAATCTCGGCTCGAATATTGATTTTAATGAAGTTAAATGCGCTTGCTAAGAACACGAGTTTCTTATATGAGCCTCCGTTTTTTCAGCAAGTCGAATGAATTTAATAAACGGTTAAATGAAAATAATCGTACGTTTGCTTTGCTAGACTTTTTATCTTCTATTTGCTATGGCTTTTTATTTTCCCTTTGTTTGAGAAATTTGCAAGGGAAAAACTTAATCTCAACACATGGGAAAGATACAAATGCCAGTTTTATGCTTTGTTTAAGGATTCCCGAAGTGATTATGACAATTTGTTGCTATGCCAATAAGTAGAACTTTCCTATTTCGCAGAAGTGTCTTTAAAACTCATATGTTCCACCAAATTGCAATTTCGAGCGTTTACTTGGCAGTGCCAATATTTGTTTAGACCACATTTTTCTTCCAATGAGCTTACTGCCAGTCAAACGATTGGAAGAAACCATTTCAGCACTTACATCAAAGTCATGCCATAAGTTTTTGATCAACTGCCTTAGTCACAAACTAATACTGATTCCATAAAGGTGGTAATAGGGCGTCAGGGTCATGTCTGGGGGAATGGGAAAAAATAGTTTTGTAGGAGATTGGGACGACATAAGATCCTGTTATCCCTTCTCTCTACCTGTGTAATCACCTTCCACTGTGCCATTGTATTCATTTTATAATTCGAGCATTGTTTTCTCTCAACTTTCTCTGTTTATCCTTCAGCAATTGATTATTTTGAGGTCGTTAATTTTATGTTACGTATAAACTGTTCTCCTATTTACACTGCGTTCCTTAGTAAAAGCACTTATTTCTTCTATAGATGTTAATATTGCTGTTTTCTTTACTATTTTGTTTACTTATTTGTCTGATTTTCTCAGCCACTGGAACTACTCCTTCTTTTCTGTTGATTCCCACGTTCTTCGATTTTAAATCTGTGTTTTGTTCGTTTATTATTTGATTGGAGAAATATATTTTATTTTATATCAAATGGCAGGTGTTTTGATGGTTATCATTAGCCCTTTAGTTGACTTCAGGCTTCACATAGGGAAGAAACATCAAAGTGAAAAAAAGTCGAGAGGGGGAACAGAAGAGTGATTCACAGATGTAAAAGAGACAGAAACAAAAGTGGAAAAAGGTGAGGTGAGAACTGTGGGAGTAGCCGAATATGACATACAGTGGGGTGATGGTAGTTTGAAGTCAGAAGTCAACTGCCGGTTAATAGACTTTTCTGCCATATGAGTATACGTTGCCCAGGGTACACCACGTGGATTTAAGTCTATCGCACACCCCGAGTGGAGAAATATAATGCATTCATATAAACTATCCTATGGTAAAAAAATAAGTACATTATGCGGTTTTAAGTATTGAATGACTCGAATGTATATATTTCCGAAACTGGATCCTAATTTGATCTCATCTGATCTATCACGCAGGAGATAATGAATTTCCTGTCTATATCAGCCTCACCATTTTATAACAATCGTTTTAGTGATAGCATACGGCATACCCTTCAAAGATGGACTTATGTTTACAAATATTTAATAGATGTTTGACTAATTTTCTCAGAATTTATTTCAATTTGGATGATTTATATGAAATTAAAACCAGGTTCTTGTGTGGCAAATGGTTCTTACAGTTTCCAAATGGTTTTATTCGCACTTTTTTGCAAATATAAGGTATCTTAACGTTTCTAGTGAAGCACAAAAACATTTACTTTTCGCTACTTTGTAAACTAATATTGATCGTTGTGTTTATTTAAATTACGGAATTTTGCTGCTTTGGCCTGACACACACATTTACTTCCCGCAGTATTTCTGTGTTTTTTCCCAGTTGAATTCGCCAACTATTTCTCTAACAAGTGGTTATTTACTGCCAAGGTTTGCTTGATTTAACCCAAAAGTTCACCTTGCTTTTTTTTTTGCGAAGTCACCCGTTTGGAATGAATAACTTTGTTNATATAATTTTGTAATGAGCTACACATGTAGGAAAGAGCATAATGTTTTTTTTATTTAAATTGACTTCTCTATTGGCTGTCCTTTAAATTGGCGCACACACCCTGTTGAAAGGATACATTTAAGCGTTCAATTTTTTTTCCAACTTCCCTAATATATGACAATTAGGGCTAATGCACAGCATAGATTTAATTAAACCTTGATTGAGGAATTTTGAAAATCTATTTGTCTTCGGACTTCTAAGTTCTTCATCGCGTAGATGACTTGGAAAGGAGACAAATTGTTGCGTAAGCAATCGTATCTATGCTATTTGCTAGTAAGCTGGAAAGGTGTCTTTTCATTCTTTCACCCTGCAGTCAATTTAGCCCACTCAGAACCTTGTTCATCTCAAGATCTCATCACAAACTTTATTTTTCTTAATGAACAATAACTAGAAGAACAAGTAGTTTAAAATGAAATGATTTATTTATTTCAAATGACAGGCTTTATGATAGCTATCATTAGTCCTTTAGTTGACTTTGGGCTTCACAGAGAGGAGAAGGAACAACAAAGTCACAAAAGTCGAGAGAGGGAACAGAAGAGTGATTCACAGATGTAAAAGCGACAGACAGGCACAATGGTAGAGAAAAAGGTAAAGTGAGTACTGTGGAGGGGTCGAATATGGCATACAGTGGGGTCATGGTAGTTTGAAGTCAGAAGTCAATTGTTGATTAATAGACTTTTTGCCGTATGATTATATGTTGCCCAGGGTGCACCACGTGGAGGTAAGTCTATTGCGCACCTCTGAAATGAAATTACTACTTTCTATAGATATTCATTTCGGGGTTAATTTGTTTTGAATATTTTTTCTTCGAACAGGAGGCTATTGATTGACTTAGACCTGTTCCAATAAAGTCATAATATTAATTCCGAAAGCTTATTCATAAAACTAATATACTTTGTTTCGGTATAACAGGTTGTATGCAAGAAGTAATAAGGCATTGGGATTCTTGCTTTGTGAACTTTCATGTGAGGCGTAACTGACACACAGATGACTGCCATGCTTTTGACAAGAATGCAACTTGACACGAGTCCATAATAGGTTTAGATAGAGTTCGTAATTACTCCAGTTATCCATACTAACCAGATTGCAAACTCTCCCACAGTGAATTGATCAGTCTTCTCGGACTCAAACGATTGCCAAGTGATAACTGGACAGTGATCAGCATAGATTGTCAATCATGCCAACGTAGTCATTCTACTCTATTTGAGTCCTTTTTGCAATGATCCTAAATTGATAACTACATCGGTCTTTTTGATTTTATGCTTTGTGACTTAAATATTGAAATCAAAGTGTGCTCTTATGCTTTTCTCAACATTGTCCTACTCTTGTATCTGTTGAGCAGACATGTTCATCTTCTCGTTAGCCTTCCAAACTGGCTTCCTTCCATCTGGGCGTACTGCATGAAGCCAAATCTAATCGTGTGCTCTCTGTCGAACAGCGTTTCAGCAGACACATTAAATGAAAACTTTGTACATATATTCATATTTGACGTTTCGTTTTCTATTTCAGCTAATAAAATGCACACTCCATCGTGATTGGAGCGGACTTGGTTTCAGCATTGCCGGGGGTCGTGGTGTTTTGGGTCCTCAAGCTGATGCGTCGGTGAGTCACCCCCTACTGCCTCCACACAGATTTAAAACATCGAATGCCTGCTTGTGGGTTTGAGGTCAGGTCAAATTTGGCCATTCCGGCCGTGTGAAAGTGGTAGGGGCATAAACCAATAACGACTGGGAGGTATTGAAAACACCAATCTTATTTAGAAAATTGAAATAAGAAAACAAATCGATGATCCAACGTCAATGATATAGAGAGAAGATCTCAATTCACGTAATTTTCCTACAGTTAGAATTGCCAACAATTCCGAATATTGCGGTTCCTCTAGCCCATAATTATCGCTTTGTATTACGCTGGTCTAATTACCAAGTCGAACTAGCTATATGTGTTTAAATACTCCTTTCCGTTAAATAAATAAAATAGTTCATATTACGTTTAAAACATAAGTATTGACAAATCCCTCAACTTATTCGAGTTTAGCTAATTAATCAAGAGTGATCTTTAGAGTTAAATACAAAACTAATGGGCAGTGAGTGGATGCTTGTCAATTAAATGGGTCGATGTTCATTTCTATCGCCAACACGGATAGTGGAAATCGAATTTTTCAATCAAGGATATTCTAAACAAATAGGCAAGTTTGCCTCCTGTTAATGGTTTTGTCGCGGATCTATTTCAGAGACATCTTTCGCTTAGAATGACCTCTAACACACGGACTCCGTTTCCATGGTGGTTCCTCTTGTCTGTATCTATTTGAAATGTTTCTATCATCTTTAGGCCCATTTAAACTTTCTTGAGGTAAGGTTCATCCCCCCCCCTCACTCTCCAAACTGATTAGAGTTGATGGTTCATCATTCGAACCCTCCTGCTGATTAGATATTATATTAATTTGATTTTCTCAACTCATCCTACTCTTGCTCCTATTGCCTCTAATCATTACTAACTACAAATATATCTTGCTCAGTTGTGGATTTTGTTTCATTGATCTAATCCTAGTTTGCTTTGCTGCTTGCTTAGTGGTTATTTTGGTTAATAAATGGGTGTTTTTTATTCTGATTTATTTACAGACTATTTACATTAGCCGAATTGTTGAAGGCGGTGCCGCTGATAAAACTGGACAACTTCGAGTTGGAGATCAATTGTATAAGGTATGTTAGTCACTTTTGTTGTTTCATGAAATTCACCGACCTTAGCTTTTTTATGTCAATGGACGTAGGTTGTATGAGAAGCGCTCTATTTTGTACAGTTGCATCATCATTATTGGAAAGCTTTGGCTTGAGTGATTACAAAAATGTATTGATGGAAAAGTTGTCTCTTCGTTGGTTTTGATTATCTTGCATTTTGCAATGTATTTGGAACTGTGCTCAAAAATTTTGGTAGAAAAGGTCTTGACACTTACATTTTGAGTCCTCGGGGCAGATAAGCAGGATGCGAGAGTGAATATTCAACCATAGTACCTTCACTGTATCCCAGAATCAATTTGTTATGGCTATGCTAACTGATATTTTCATAGTTTGGCATCTTAAGAATTGCTCCTAGTGACGTCTTGTCTAATTTGCGTCTCAGTTTGTTCCGACAAGGCACATTGGCGAGATCGGGTCAATAGATATTCTGCATCTGGATGCCTTGTTTATTTCTAACGATAAATATCCACTTAATAGATAAACGGTATCGACGTACG